GCATCGAAAAAGTTGAGTATCTCATGCTTGGTTGTTGCATCGAAAGGCGATCAATGTTAGTCAAAGGAAAAGAATCATTGGGGCACGCCTTGTTCAAGTCTTTGTAATCTACGCACATTCTTAATTTATTTCTATTTTTAGGACTACTACTACGTTAGCCAACCAATCCGGGTAGTTAACTTCCCGAATGGAACTTATTCTAAGGAGTTTGGATACCTCGTGTTTTATGAATGCATGCTTGACCTCAGACTGAGGCCTCCTCTTTTGTTTAACCGGGTGGAACTTCGAATCCAGGCTTAGCTTATGAGTGGTTATTTCTGGCGAGATTACCAAGCAAAACAGTCTATGTTAGTTGTGTTATACCCCATTTTAACATGGGTCAAACTAGAGTATAACATATTGGTAATTCTGAAGGTTTAATTAGTTAAAAGAGTCGCCACCTAATTAGTTTCAAAGTGAATTAGGACACAAATTTTAGCTAAATAATGCTTAAAGTTAACTCTGTTTTATGATATGCTTAACCTTAGAGATTATGGGTAAGGGTTCTAATTAATTTTATAGGGAAGGTTATTAAAGCACCCTATATGATCCGTTAATAACGGTTAACCTGCCAAACTTGGGTTAATTGATTTTAAAAATTAAGTAATAACACGTGTGTGCATTAAAAAATATATTTGTTAGATTTAGAAAATACTTGTATAGTAATGTCATGAAGAGAGAAATGAGTCACTTTAGAATTGTATAAATTCATAATTGAGAAAGAAAATTGCTTTCAAGCATTTCAAACTCAGACAGAATAAATGGTTTGGACTTTAACTCTTATACCCTAGGGAAAGTTTTTCCATATGAAACTACAAAAAAGGAGTATATCCTTAAAGTAACTTAATTTAAAAAAAGGTGAGCTGAAATGCAACGCTTGATTGAAATACTTCTTGTCTTTCAAAAAAAAATTAGTGAGTTACACTTAAGTGGCGCTGCACCATTTATGAAGAAAACTCCAACTTAACAATATTGGAAACAAATTTGACGACAAGCTCTCAAAAGTATCACTTTAACAAATTGACCTTACTTGAAAGAGTGTTAGGAGTATAGTAGCTTACTTAGAAATAGACACGCTAGTGGCAACTAGGTGGAAAGTTATTGCTGATTTTAAACTTGTTATTACTGATTTTAAGCACGAGATAAAGAACCTAGATGATTAAATCCCAAAATTGAGAGAACGTCAAACACACATAAATCAACAACAGTAAAAGATTAGGTACAATAAATAATAAAAGAGAATAAGAACGCCATAGGCGCCGCCAAGCGTTTCGCTTGTTTTCTTGTTGCTTGGTGCATCTATGGAATATGGTATGTGATGACTCCATGCTCGGATAGTAGCGTTGAGTCTCTATGCGACTCTACTGCGAAAGTCTCGAATTAAGACTTCATTTACTCCAAAGTGTACATGTAAAGAAAGGGAGAAACAAAAATTAACAATATAATCTTAATATTGCAAATTGTATCCACAAACTAGTTGAAGACAATGAGAATGTAAAGCAACACAATTACTACAGTGATGCTAAAACACAATATCAATAGAAGCAGATTCTTTAAATAGGAATTTTAAGTCAACATGACAACTACTTGCAATGAATTAAAAGGTGGAAACACACATTCTGTTCCTTTAATATACTTATAGGTATGATTTACAAACTAAGTTAACACCTTCTAGAGATTACTACGACATAGTAACTCAGGAAACATTTATTTAAACTAAAAGAATAAATCATCTATAAACACACATATAAGACCCTGTTTTCTATACTTCGATGATACAACCTTAAGTCAAGGATCTCTAAACCAATTCCAATAAAATATATATAAAACTATCCCATCATAACAGGTCACTAACAGGTGCAAACACTAAAAATACACCTTCACAATAGGAGAGGATTGTTTAACCCAAAAAATGGTTTTCAAAGTCAAAGTAATAATTTTATATGACGGGCCACGAACAATCGATTCAATCCGAAAAATATAAAATTTTGTTAATATAACGTGATAGAGAAGTGAAAAATAAATTCAATGACAGATAATATAATAAAAATAAAGCAGAGAAGAAAGAATTCTTATTGAATGATCCTTGATAGGATAATGAGCCGAACAGAGCTTGAAGAGCCGAATTATGGCTAACTTGGGAGCAAGATGCTATCAATTACAATGTATAGAATTGTAGAGAAGAAAATTAGATTCCGCTGATGATGGTAAAAATATGTCTATTTATAGGAATAAATCTAAGTAACTAGTTTCCTTGAATTTTGGGTCCATTAGGAGCATTTACTCAATCCATTCATTACTTTTGGAAGATTTGTAACAGCTGTGTAAATGCTGAAATTTCGTAATTGATGAGTTAATTCCATAACTGATGAGTTAATTCCGTAATTAATGAGTCAATCTCGTGCATGTTGAGTCAATCCCGTGCCTGTTGAATCAATCACGTGCCTGTTGAGTCAATCTCATGCCTGATTGCCTTGTTCTGACCGTTACAATCATTTATTGCATTTATTAATAATTGATTTGTAACTGATAGTGTAATGATGGTAAATCCCATATAATCCGGGATTAATTTATTCCTTCCTCATTTGTAATTATGAGATACTATCCCGCGCCTGATCTGGGCTATTTCATGATGATCAGTTCCGGGACTAACATGCACGGTATGAGTATGTTCGGTCCCGGGAGTGTTTCACATATCATCTTTACATGTCATTCTTTACTTTTCTTCAAACTTTACTGACATGTGTCGCCCTTTAATAGACTCACATGGCGAGTCTAATTTTCACTAATACAGATAGTCCCCCCACTTTTCGGTTACTCACTATAATGTGACCGGGAAGTGGAGGATTTTATCCTTTTCATCCTTGCCTCTGCCTCATTAAAAACCTTGCCAGAAAAATCCAATAGGGACAAAAACCGGACGAAGGAAAAAAGAGTGCAGAACTTAGATATTCAGATGATAACTCCACCGCTTATGTTCCTTTCGTCAATAATCGGTTGGTTTACCCCTGTCTTGTTTCGGGGTTTGAAGACAAATCTTTGCCTTATGTTTGCAAAGTTTGATATATATATTTCAGCTTTATTTTCTGCCTATTTTAATGTTTGAGTTTTTGTTTCACCCTTTAACTTTGCATTAAAAATGCTTCAATGCTCCGTGACTTTTTTGAATAAGCATGAATTATAAAAGAGGGCCCTTTTATGAACGACACTTAATGAATAAGACGTCTCAACTTATAATGGTGTAAATATACAAAAGAGAGATAGGAATTTTCACATGTTTTTCTTTTATAATGTTTTGAAGAAAGTTTTTACATTTAACTTTCATAACATTTCACATGTGTTTGTGTATCGTCTATAACTCATTTTGCAGCTGTTTTTTTCTTTTAACAGATTCGATATAAGCTTGCACTCGTGATTGTTTTTCTTTTGCAACAATTTTTTTTGAATTAGTACAAGGAGATAACTATTTTTGTTTACAACAGTTTTAAATATAAGGGTATGAATTTCTACCCATAACTATTTTTATTGATAACAGTTTTCAAATGAATACAAGGGTAATGCTTTTTCATCCGTAACTGTTTTCAGTTACAACAGTTTTTGAGTAAGTACAAAGATGTGCATTTTTACCCGTAACTAATATTCTGCTTTTAACCTTTTTTGAAACATTCGTTTATATTTACGAATATGTTTTCAAAGGTTTTCGAGTCATGCTTGTGTTTTTGGCTTGTGACTTTGCTCTTAACTTTCGATTTGTTGGGTAGACCTTAGGCTTGACTTGAATTTTGATTTTTCTAGTCTTCTTT